AGTGAAGGAATGTATGACTTAATATATTCAATTCTTACAGAAAATAGACTTTACGTGAAAAACACTTTCTATCCTTCAAATGGTTCAAAAACTGTTATGGTATCAGAGCTCTTGATCTCAAGAGCTCTGGTTTTCTTCTTCCATGGCAAAAAGAAATTCAAGCAGTGGAGGTGGAAATCCTCCGCCTCTTTCTCCACCACAAGACCCTGCTTTAAACCCATTGAGTGAGTATTATATTCATCCCGGAGAAAACCCCTCTCTTGTCCTAGCTACACCATTGTTGTCCGAAAGAAATTACCATAGCTGGGCTAGAGCTATGAAGAGATCCCTCATTTCTAAAAACAAATATAAGTTTGTCAATGGCATATTGCCAATGCCATCCTCCTTTGATCCAAGTTTTGAAGCTTGGGAAAGATGCAACAATTTAGTACTATCCTGGATCTTTAACTCTGTGGAACCAACAATTGCTCAAAGTATTGTCTACTTGGAGGTCGCATCAGTAGCATGGAAATTGCTAAAAGACAGATTTGTACAAGGCAATAGAGTTTGAGTATTTGAGTTGCAGCAAGAGCTGAATTCATTAAAGCAAGGTACAAACTCTGTGACTAATTACTTTACTGAGATGACTACCTTATGGGATGAGATTGAGAACGTTAGACCTCTCCCACATTGTGTGTGCACTGTAAAATGTGTATGTGATGCCAGCAAAAATGGTAAACTCTACAGAGACGAGGATTATATTTTGAAATTTTTAAGTGGACTGAGTGATGATTTTGAGGTAGTAAGATCACATATCCTCATGATGGAGCCATTCCCAGATCTAAGCAAAGTGTTCTCACTAGCAATACAACAAGAAAAGAAGTTTAGCCTCAATACTGGTAGTGATGGTGATGTGCAAGTTTTTGCAAATGCAGAATGGAGAAGGCCATACGGCAGAGGAAGAGGTAATTCATCAAATGTTTTTAATGGAAAGCCTAATATGAAAGTTTGTAGCTACTGTGGCAAGACAGGTCACACTGTTGAAGTATGTTATAAAAAGCATGGTTATCCAACCAATTTTAAAACAAAGAACAGTGGAAGCATCAATAGCATTGTAGGGGATTCTTTTAACTCTGCTGTGAGTGGTGAAGCAGACTCAAAAGGGGACACTGACACAGCTTCTCAAGTCTCCTCACAAGTCTCATTGTCTGATGAGCAGTTTAAGGCAATCATGGCTCTGCTCCAATCTTCCAATGTTGCTAGCCCCTCAAGGAATAATCAGGTAGCAGCTGTTACTACAAAACAGCAAACACAATCAGGTAATCATATAGCATGCAGCATTCATACCTTGTTTGACACCTGGATACTTGATTCAGGTGCAACTGACCATATTTGTTCAAATAAAAAATTATTCAGTTGTTTAAAGCCAATAAACCATGACCCTATCATAGTAAATCTTCCAAATGGACATAAATCCACAGCAACACACAAAGGAACCATCACTATTGATCAGAATCTTATTTTAACTGATGTCCTTTTTATGCCAGGGTTCACGTTGAATCTTATTTCAATTTCAAAACTGAGTTCACAGCTTAACCTTGGTTTCCTTTTTTTTCCTAACTCATGTCTCATACAGGACTTGAACACCTTGAAGATGATTGGTTCAGCTAGAATGAAGGATGGGTTGTATTGGCTATCTTACCATCATCTCTCACAGCCATGTACATCACAATCAGCCGTAGTAAATGCAACCTTAACCAAATCTTTTTTTCTATAAACTGCCTTGTGGCATTTCAGATTGGGGCATGTCTCTAATTCACGAATGAATATGCTTTGTGATTTGTACCCTTTTTTACATACATATAATAAAAATTTAGTTTGTGACACTTGTCACTATGCAAAGCAAAAAAGATTACCTTATAGTGATAGTAACAGCCGGGCAACTAAGCCTTTTGATCTCATTCATGTGGATGTATGGGGACCTTATAGTGTTCATACAATCCATAAACAAAAGTTCTTTCTTACAATTGTGGATGACTACAGTAGGTACACCTGGCTAATTTTGATGAAACATAAGTCAGAAACAGAAAACCACTTGAAAAATTTCACCAAAATGATTGAAACTCAATTTGAAAGAAAAATTAAAATCATTAGGTCAGATAATGGGACTGAATTTTTGATGAAATCCTTTTACAATGATTATGGAATTCTTCACCAAACAAGCTGTGTTGAGACACCTCAACAGAATGCTAGAGTTGAGAGAAAACATCAAATTCTTCTTAACATTGCTAGAGCCCTTTTGTTTCAAGGGAATTTACCAAAATTTTTTTGGGGCCTAGCGGTTGCTCATGCTGTGCATTTATTGAATAGGTTACCATCTCCCATTATTGACTCTAAGTCACCTTATGAAGTTTTATTTAATCAAAAACCAGATTTAAATAATTTAAGAGTCTTTGGTTGTCTTTGCTATTCATCCACAAATACTTCACATAGAGGAAAGTTTGATCCAGGAGCAAAAAAATGTGTTTTTGTGGGGTACAAACCTGGCACAAAAGGATTTTTATTATATGAAATAAGTACAAAGACATTGCAAGTTTCCAGAAATGTTATTTTTGAGGAGTACATTTTTCCTTTTCAAACTGATATGCCAAGTACAGTTTCTGACCAAAGACACCACCAACCTGCCATCATTAGTCAACCGAATTTCCCTACACTTCACCAACCTGCCATCATTAGTCAACCAAACTCACCTACACTACACACATCCTCTCTTCATACTGAACAAGAACTACTGCCAGCCAGCACTGAATCAACACCAACCTCTCTATGTTCTCATAGCCATGAACTGAATCTACCACAAACAATAAGAAAATCACACAGGATCAAACAAAAACCTATATACTTGCAAGATTTTCAATGCAACTCAGTCCTTTCATCCCAGCTGGCTAATCAAGGTAGTCCTTATCCCCTCTCATCCTTTTACTCCCTATCTAATCTATCTCCTTGTTATGCTGCATTCTGTATGAATATCACTGATCAAAAGGAGCCTAAGACATTCCTTGAAGCTAGTAAACAGGATTGTTGGAGAAAAGCCATGGAGGCTGAAATCCAAGCTCTTGAGCTCAATGACACTTGGAGTCTTGTAGATCTTCCACCTGGAGTTACTCCCATTGGCTGCAAATGGGTCTATAAGATCAAGAGGAAATCAGATGGAACCATTGAAAGGTATAAGGCAAGATTAGTTGCCAAGGGATACAATCAAGTTGAGGGACTTGATTACCTAGACACCTTTTCACCTGTAGCAAAACTAACCACAATTAGAATCATTATAGCTCTTACTGCAGCTCACAATTGGCATCTACATCAATTGGATGTCAACAATGCTTTTCTACATGGTGATTTGAGAGAGGATGTGTACATGGTTCCTCCACAAGGTATGGCAGTTTCTCATCCAAATAAGGTTTGCAAACTAACTAAATCACTTTATGGTTTAAAACAGGCAAGCAGACAGTGGTTTGAGAAGCTTTCTTCCTTTCTTCTAACCTTGGGGTTCCATCAAGCCACTGCAGATCATACTTTATTCCTTAGATTCTTTGATTCTGGGTTTACTGGTCTATTAGTGTATGTGGATGACATCCTATTATTTGAGACTTCTGTACATGCATTTGCTTCAGTCAAGCAACAATTGCATAGAGTATTTGGCATCAAAGATCTTGGTATTTTAAGATATTTTTTAGGATTGGAAATAGCACACTCTTCACAGGGAATTTCCATCTCACAAAGGAAGTATTGTCTTGAGCTTTTGGAGGACACATCTCTAACCAACTGTAAACCTGCCTCGACTCCTTTGGATCCAGCAATGGTTTTACAACAAGACAAGGGAGTGCCATTTCCAGATGTTACTGCATACCGGAGACTAGTTGGCAGATTGCTTTATCTAACAACTACAAGGCCAGATATCACCTTTGCTGTTCAGCAAGTTAGTCAGTACCTCAATTCTCCAACTTATGCACATCACCAAGCTGCAGTTAGAATACTTCGCTACTTAAAGAATGCACCAGGATTAGGATTGTTCTTCCCTAGAAACAGTGACCTGCAACTTCGTGGGTTTGTTGATGCTGATTGGGGAAGATGCCCAGATACTCGAAAGTCCATCTCTGGTTATTGTTTTTTTATTGGTCCTTCTCTGGTAAGTTGGAAATCAAAGAAACAACTCACTGTAGCTCGTTCCTCTGCAGAAGCTGAGTATAGGGCTCTTGCTACTGCAACTTGTGAATTGCAATGGATACACTACCTACTTCAAGATCTTCACATCCATCCAACCAAGATCCATGTGATATTTTGTGACAACCAAAGTGCCATACACATTGCACAGAATCCTGTTTTCCATGAGAGAACTAAACATTTAGAAATTGATTGTCATGTAGTTAGAGAGAAACTACAATCAGGCCTAATGCATTTGTTGCCCATTTCATCTCATGCCCAAATAGCTGATTTTTTCACCAAGGCCCTACTTCCAAAATATTTCACTGCCTTTTTATCCAAGCTTGGAGTGCACAATATCTTCTGCCCTCCAGCTTGCGAGGGGGTATTAAGAATTCCTCAAGTAAAGCTTCCTCTAGTTGATGACTCTGCACACGTCAAGTCCCATATCGTCAAATCCACAAACTTGCAATGCACACCTCAAATCCCACGTTGAACAGCTGTACACCTATACACTGTGTTTTTCATTGCATTTGCCTAGCCTTAATCTTTCTGTTAGGATTTTCTAAATATTCTTTTTTTCTGTTTTGATTGTTTTCATTTTTCCGTTTTTTTCTCTTCCTTCCATTCACATATTTGTGTATATAAGTGAAGGAATGTATGACTTAATATATTCAATTCTTACAGAAAATAGACTTTACGTGAAAAACACTTTCTATCCTTCAAATGGTTCAAAAACTGTTAACTTGCGGCATATATCGGAATTTGTATATAAGGTTTAGTCCATTTTGATACCTCTTGGCCCAAACCCATTTGCAATGGCGACTGAGGCCACTTTGGTAATTGAATATGAGAACATGATTGATGGGTCCTGTGTAACCAATATGTCTAAAATATAAGATTACCTTGTCTTTTGCATAATAGCTGCCAATTAACTTTAATCTAATTCCTTGTCAATTAATGCTTTTATCTTATTTAATTTATTATGCTGATTCTCGAGTTTCTTTTGTGACATAACAGTTTCAGTTTATGCATGAATGTGTGCATTAGTTGTAGAATACTATTGTATAATACTTCTCATAGTTGTTCCATTCTACTTTCTCCATGCTTTGTAAGTCCCCTGAATTTGGTCTCTTGTTTAACTTTTTTTCCTTTTGTCTTTTCTGTCATTATACTACTTTGTAGTGTGTGAACTGTAAAATGATTCTTACTGTGTGACTGCCGCTGATTTGCTAGCAACCTTTGGTTACTTATGATGGAACCTCTTTCTTCAAAAATATTGATATGATGATCATCGTCTGTCGATGCCTTAAATCCTTGTTTAACTATGTATGTATAAACCTTTTTTTTTTTTTTTTCGAAGGATAATGCAAGTGGTGTTATTGATGCAGGATGCATGGCAGCTTTGGATGCAGAACATTACCTGCAAGGAGTTGGGGTACAAGAAGATAAGAGCGATTGACTAGCTTCGGAGGGTCCGGAGTTGAGAATATGCTTAATCAGAAGTAATGTTTGATGAACCTTCATTTGTGGGGTGCTATTCATAGTTTGATTCCGGAGATAGACAATATTTTTTAGCAGTGATGCTCACGTGCACGCATACATGTATTATGCTTACTGGGCGTATGTTCGTGCATTATTGGCATTATTGTGACCATCATTACCATTCAAAATCTGCTATCCAAAAAACTATATAACAATTTGCTCCTTCACAGGATTAGAATTTTTTGAACTCAATTTGACTTGATGTAGGCTTTCTAAAAGAAAAAAGTGTTTTACTCCCCTGAACCTTGGGTCCAATTTGGTTGATTCTCTTATTTAGTTTTTTAAATATGTGAATTTAATCGTTTTCAAATTTAAAATAATATATTATTCGTTGTACCATTTTTTAAAACTTTATCGAGTTCCAATTCGCACTGATAAATAAGGGTTTTGAAAATTCGAGTCAAAATTATAGGGGTAAATTTTTTTATATTTTTAAATTATTCAGATTTTGAGTCCTCAAATGTAATAATTAGGGGACGAAAACTTACGGTATTAAATTTCAAAAGTTTGAATATTTCAATAATTATAAACGCGAAACCTTGTCATTTTAAAAGTTTTGTGGACTAAAGATATTATCAATTGAATGGAAGCAAAAGATATCATCTCTTCAAACTAAACAGTCCTGACTAGTTTGTTTAAGTGCGGTTTTTCTTTTGGAGTTCAAATGGGTTGTTCATTGTATGATTTGTAATAGAAACGTGAGAGGAATTTCAAACTTTGTTTGATAGGTATCATAGGTTGCTGGTTCCTACAATGGTAAAAATCTATTTTCACTCATTTTATTTTGAAATGAATATTTTAAAGTACTCGTTTTGGAATTAAAAAAGTTGAGTTATTAACTATATATATTAACTTAGCTTCGCTAAACGTTCTACGTTGTGAGTCATTTTATTTGCCTGAGCATGATTGAATCTGGAATTTGGATACATTGTTATATCAAAAGTTGGTTTATACGAGTTCCTTCTGTTCATATTTTATTTTATTTTAATTTTTATAAATCTGAACTCTTGTTAGATAGTGAAAGTAAATTTTGCACAACGTTTTAAAATTTATCTTTGAATCAGAGTATTCTTAAGAGTTATTCTCACTTTCATGAACCATTTTATTTTATCCTAATATTATATATTAAACATTTAGTTTTATTTTAAAAAAATATATTTATTACTTTAATTTTTAAATCCTTCACAACATTCAAAACCCACTTTTCTGTTGTCTTTATTTGAATATTCACTTTTCACAATTTATCTCTTTCAATTTTATTGTTTGCATCTTTATTTCTAAATAAATTTTGATATTTCGATAAAAAATCATCAATAATCAGAAAGTAGTTCATAATATAAATTATTTATCACAAATTCATATTACAATTTCTATATTAAACTTATTTTTATCATACGATCATTTTTACTAAAAAAATATTTATCAGTTATAAAATCTAATAAAATAAAAATGAGATTTATCCTATAAATGACACACACACAAACATAGGGATGGTTATGGCCCATTCATGCGTTCAGCAAATATTAAAAAGTTGGGTGGAAGGTGGGAGGTGAAGGGTGGGATAGTGGGGGACTCATGAAACCAAGTTTTTCACCAACTCTTATCCAAAACTCATGATATTTATAATCAACTAAGCACATAATAATATTAATTATCGATACTTAGTTGTTTATAATAGGATTGTTGAAATTTATTAAACTCATCCTTCAATCCAATAAAAAATATATGGATCAAATTAGGTTAAGTGGAGTTTATTCAGTCAACTATCTTTAAAATAATTTTTTATTAAATTTTTCAATTTTAGTATTTTTTATATTTTTTTTAAGTAATATAAAAAACTATATTTATTATTCAAATAACTTATTATTTCAAAAATGCATATTTAATTAAATTAATTAAATAACAATATATGATTATTAATATAAAATACTTAATAAGTCAGTATGATGAATCTAGAATTAAATTTATAAAATTTATTATTTAATTCGTAAGAAATTGGATTATATGACAATTAAGTTGTCAATTTTTTGAAGTTAAACAAAAACTTTTTATGATTTTATTTTACCTACATTTAATAATTTACTTGAAATTTGTATTAAATCATTTAACTTGATAAGAATGAATAGAATAATGTAAAGTAAATACTTACATACATTTATATTAATTAAAAATATTAATGATAAGTTAAAAACAAATTTATAATCATTTACTTTTTAATACACATATCAATAACCAAATATATATATATATATATAGAAACCAAAATGTTAGATATTCTTCTGTTTAAATATAGAAAACAAAGAACTAAAAAAAATCAAAAACATTTTGTCATGAACCTGATTATGGTCAATACATGCTTAAATAATATTCTCTTAATTTACTTACGCTATAGTAAGTGCTTAATTAATCTGGTCCACGTTTGGGACGTGATTTCTCATTTTATCTTCTTCTTGTTTCCTCACCAAAATCCAATAAATATTTTGCATTTCAATATAATAATTTCAATTCTAATTGTGCATCTTAACTTTTTAAAATACTAAATATATTACTTTTATTTAATGATTTTTATAAGATATATAATAAAAGAATTTAAAATTTTGTCCAAGAGAATATAACATTACTCTTATTTTAATGTTGTCAAAGTTGAAATACCCGAAAATCTCGACACTCCATTTATAATCTTTCATGTCAACAAGACAAATGACAAATAAGGATGTAAAATCAAAGAGTCTATAAAAACTGTTAAGTAGTTTTAGCATCACAAAGACCAATTTTTCCATCAAAAGTTTCACATATAAGAATAAAATTAATATTATAACTGTATTAAAACTACTTTACTGTTATTAAATCTTTTATTTTGGCACCTTTTACTTCTTCAAATAACAGTCAAATAATTCATCCAAACATAAAAGGTTACTTATTTAAAAGAATTAAAATAAAATTATATATATATATATATATATATATATATATATATATATATATATTCTCTGTACCATGTTAACATGGTGTTCATAATTAATTGATAATGGATTAAAAAAATTATTTTAAAGTTGATGCACATAAATATGAATTTGAGATGTTAAGCTGAATCAACTGCAGATGATATATATATATATATATATATATATATATATATATATATATATATATATATATATAATAGAATTTTAAAAATATCTAATTCAATTATATAAAATTAATTTAATAAAATATATAATTTTATTAAGATTAAAAAAAATCATCTTCGTGTATTATCATATTTATTTTCTATTTCATTTCCTATTCTTTCTTATAGTTATTATAGAAATATGATGTTAGAATTTGTTTATATTATGTTGATTCGTTAACTCGCAGTAATTTTTTTAAATTATAATATAATGTATAAAGAGTATAAATTTTATTTTATAAATCGATTTATAAGATTAAATTAATTATTTTTTAATTTCAATATAATATCATAACTACTCTATTCTTTTTCATTCGTTAATTTATCCATTTTTCTTTTCCAACAAAATGGTTAATGTGACTTTGACTAAACAATGAATGGTTGTATTCAGACATAGTGGTTGCTAGAAAGTAAGGTTGACTCACTTTTTTCTTTGTTAGAAAAAAATGTATTCTTGATGTTTGGCTGGTGCAGTGTTATTTGTCTCTATTTTTGGATGCTATAAATAAGCATATATATATATATATATATATATATATATATATATATATATGCTGGGAATAAACCACCCCCACTATTGAAATGTTCATCATTATTGTACCTAATACCGACATATTTATCAATTAGATCAAATTCTTATAGATTGCTTAGGCTTAATCAATTATTTATAACAATATGTCATTATTAATGCTATGTTTATGCCAAAGAAATTATTTATTGGGTTAGAGTTAAAACTTGTGTTGATATTGAAGGAAAAACTATTTTGACACCAATATTTTTACAAACATATAATATATAATTGATTTTAATATTATAATAATAATTTTAAATTATTTTATAATTATTATATTAATAAAAGTAGATTTGTTTTCGAGGATATCTGTTCCGTAGGAATTGTCAAAATATCAATGCTCGATAATAAATGTATATTAAATTTTATTATTGACCAAATTGGTATTATAATTGGGAGGGTTTCTTAGCTACAACTTGCATTGTTTAATTTTTAGATGTGCATGTTTTAAATGTTACACTGCCCAAAAGAATGGAACTTTAAAATCAGTCAAGTTTATCCTACCTCTTGAATTCTAGAATATAACAACTTAGAAAGTAAGGTTTACCTAATTTAATTATTTTTTTTAATTAATGTCTTTAATTCACATAAATTATAATTAGGTTAAATTATTATCATTAGCTACCCAAGTTCTAGAATAATAAAAATAATTATCTGAAAGTATTTTTTAAATAAATTCGGATTGGAATGTTAAATAAAGAAAAAAGAATCCAATCCAATTAAAGTTAATTAAATTTAAAGAAAAAGTTGATTATATTGACGTGAAAGTTATATGTATAAAATTGAAATAAAAGGTATGATAATATATTTTAGGAGGATGATTATACGTAGAGTATAACAGTGGGGTTGACGATGATTTGTGTAGAGTGGGGGAATTTGTCTTTACATTTATGATTCCACATGACCCACTTTCTCTTCTGGTAGCAACAACAAAGTCAAATTCTTCCCTCCATTTATTTAATGTTTAAAATTGACATTCCAATTAAATCTCAACTGCAAAATACATGTGATGTGATTACTGTACGTTGTCACATGTCACAACCCCCTTAAAATCACTTCAACACTATAAAATTATTATTATTAGTTTCAGTGTTATTGGACACAAACTTTTCTGTAAAAATTTATAAAATTATTTTATTTTTTAAAAAAGTATACACAGACAAATAATATATATAAA